AAATACTCGGTAGATAAAGAAGATAAAGTCTCGGGCTTGCTCGCGGTAATTTACATCGGCGTGTGATTCCGGAATGAGTGGAGAGCGGAGAGAAATATTTCAGGATGGCGTGCCACCCTCTCAGATAACGGTAATTAAAAATTACCGCGACGAGAGTGTGGGTGGTTACGCCCGAAATAAGAACGTATCCCTTGGAAACGATCGATTCTTCGCTTTTTCGCGAGAGAGAGAGAGAGAGAGAGAGAGATAATTAATACGTTCTTCTATTTATCCGTGATCGTGGGTAGATACGCGTTTCGTTCGTCGGGATTTTATCACATTAATTAGAAAAATCTTCAAATTTACAACTCTGTTTTACGCTCTCCTCGATTAATATAATCGCTCGTATATTGGAAACGTAGTCGAGGAGTTGATGACCAATGAGATTTCAAATTTTCAAGTTTTACGATCGATTTAAAGTTTCGGTCAAGCTAGAACTCGAGCAAGGATGATAAATCCTCGTAGTGGAGACTAATGTAGTGGTAATAGAGTATAAATGGGGGTCACGACCCGAGGTCAGCCTGTCTTACACCCCTAAACTGTCGTTCGCCACCTTCGCCCTCGTGCAAGGACCGGCCGAGACCTTAAACTCGCATAACACCCGCCTACCACCTATTATTTCGAAATGACTTACCACCGCTCCTTGACCGACCTGATTCCGCTATCCGTATTCGAGTACGTCTGGCTTTTCTTCTGTCGCAAGATGGATTGTTTTTCGTTAAAGCGTATAGCTTTGTATAACGCGAGATTCAAATATTCCAATTATAATAGGATCTGCAAATTATATCTGCAAAATGTGTGTATGAAACGATGATATCGTAAAAAATTTCAAATTCTAAAAAAGAAGAAAATTCCGAATCGTGGGCAAAGAAATTTTTTTCGAAACGTGAGAGCGTGTAACTTGTTATTGAGAGTTCGGCATCCATAATGCCGTAATGAAAAGAACGTTTCAACAACACGTGATGATTAAGACGGTGGATATAAACTGGTTTTATCGGGACGCGTACATTCGAAATAGCAATGAATGAAATAACATTTTTAACAGACACGATCTATACACGAGTAACAAGGATGAATGCGGGGATACATTTATAGGAGAGTCGTACATATTCATCGCACGTTGAAACTTTCTTTCGCTTTCTTTTTTATTTTCATTCAGAGAGTGCATGGGAACGCGTTGATCGTGAAGGATGTTTCGCAAGTTGGATGAAAGAACGGGTAATTCGATGTGTACGATGACACGAGATGATTTTACGATCGTAAAACGTAATTTTTAAAACGCGTATTTGGATAATTTGCGCGAAAAACTTGAGATCGTTACCCGAAAAATGTTCGAATCTCTTATTGCCGAGTGTAAAAAACGCGTTTCTGAAACGAGTGCGATAACGAATTCCGAACACGCTGTACAGTGCTGCCACCTCGTCCATCTGTATCGAACTAAACCACTGAGTATAATATAATATAATATCTCCTTTCCATTGGTGATTCTTCGCGTACTTTTTTTTCCCCAAATCTAACTATTCTCTTTTTATATACTTTTTTTTATAGTTAAAATAATCAAAGTAAGGTATTAGTTGGTCGTTACGAACAAACGCGAACGGAATTACTTTATCAATCGTGCGATAAAATGTAGCGAAACGATACAGGTAGATTAATGAAAAGCCAAGCTGTGTTAACAACGTTACATTACAACCGGAAAGAGAACGTTAAAAATGATTGATTGCGCGAGAGTATTTATTCGTATCCGGATAACAATTCTATCGTTAAAGTAATCGTAAAAGAATAAGAAATTCTAGCACTCTAGTTACTTTTGCAGAGCATTTACCCATTGAAAAAGTAACTACTTTTAAAAGTAATTACTTAATAAAACGCCCGAATAACATTTATTCTCGTAGCTTAGTTATAGTTTATTCGCTCTTCGTATAACCTCGACGCTACAATTATTTGCAGTTATTCGAACGAAAAAAATTTATCTTTAAAATAACCTTATTTTTCCCCATCTGTGCTTCTAAAACGAAAGATTTAGCGCGAGAGACTACTCGATCGATCCGAGGTGTGATTTTTCAAAGTTCTCCATCAATTACAGAGTAGTCACGGTCGGTGCATTTCGATGGCAAAACTCTTTTGCCGAAAGTTGTTTCAAAGTTCACGGGACAATGGACGCGCGTATATCCCCTTCGGCCATTTCTCTCCGTCTCTCTCTCTCTCTCTCTCTCTCTCTCTCCGATGGTAGATAGGAGAGGGAAAGGGCGTCTATGTGTCGAGTGTACACCTAGTGCTGACCAATGTTCGTCCGAAGATACGGTTGACGGGTCCGGCAGCGTTGGTAGCCTTCACGTCACCTCCACTTCAACGTTTTCCCACACCCTTTCTCACGAGTCGCATTCAATTTCACCGCCTTCGTCCACGTCCTGACCCAGCCAGAACAATCGCTGAACCTGTTCGTAACTTGGAACAAATGAAAACTTCCTAGGGGTTCGAACACTTGTGTGTAAAACGCGATGAAACGTTGCCTGGAAACTTACATGGAAAATATCCTATTCGGTGGAGATAAGGCGCCACAGTTAAATGCGGCAAATAGATATTATCCCGAGACGAGAATTTTCTCGCTTCTTTCGGATTCGTATCACCGAAGGGAAGGAAGGAAATATGCGGCAAAGGATTTATTTTGGAATTCGTTAAAACGGCGACTGGTAGAAAATGGTGTAAGGGGGGAGTTTTCAAACTCTTTTTTAACTGGTATCCGGGCTAGATCGATATCTAACTTTATTCGATTCGTTTTTATTTGCATTAGTTGCCCGTTCACGGTCCTCTCCCGGTAAGAAAGAATCGAGAAAGACCTTTGTGAAAATAATTACATGGCGTTTGGCGATGGCAACCCTTCCCTTTGCTTTTCTTTATCTTAATGAAACTCCATAAATAACGAACCTAATGCCTCGGAAATGGCCGCTAAGGGGAAACGAAAAACCACGGCGTATCGGATCATGGATGGAGGAGGGTGGTAACTTTTTAATTATTAATTCTTTCGAATTTTCTTTTTTTTAATTCCATTCGGATCAAGTAAGAGCTATTACGATTCGTTCGAATCTTTTTATTTGTACCATTTTTGCAGGAAATGACGCGAAGACGAAATTGTCTCGCAAACTTAAAACTTAAAACTTAAAAGAATTGATCACAATTTAGCAAAAATATTCGAAAAGATTGAGATATTAAGATTGGATATCCGAATACGGAGAAAAACGTTACACGTTTAAAATTAAAAGCAGTTTGGCAAAGTGGAGGGGGGGGGGCTTTAGGAAAAAGAGTTGATGCGCAATAAAAGGAAGCCTCTTACATCTGTAAAAGAGCTAATATTTCATTGACAAGAATCTTATTGGAGGGATAATGGCCGCTCTTTTCTCTGGAGGAGAAACAGCCCCTGCGTGTATCTACCCTTTCCTGATTAAGAATCAGCCTTAAAAAATAATTATTTTTAATTTGTGACCACGATAACCGCTGCTATTGTTCCATCCCCTCCCCCATACGATGGGGGGGGAGTGATAAAAACGGGCCAGTGGAAATTGATCCTCGTGCTTCTCGCTCATCTCATTATTTTCGATACTCATATTCTCGTGATCTCCCGACATTTCCCTCCCTTTAAAATTCCTCGGCACCTCGCACGCCGTCGTTTCTCCAAACTTGTGCATTCGCCAACTCTTATCTTAAAACTCGAACGGTTTCCGGTTAATACGCGTCCGGTTAATAAATTTTTATGCAAAATAACGAATTCATTGAATTTTATCGAGTTTGTCGAGCTTGTCGAAATTTTTTCCTTTTTTTTTTTTCTTTTTTTTTTTTTTCTTCGAACAACTTTTCGACGATGCATCGAATTACATTATATTACGTTATTCGCGTGTAATCGCGAATTAATTTAAAATTTTAAAATTACACGTTTCGAGATTTTTCTTTTTTTTTTTTTTTTTTCCTTTCTATTCGATGTATAACACGCAAGATATTTCCCGATTTAACGAAAACAAATCCGACAACGGTGTTACGAACGTGTTTGCGCGTACAGATATTTCAGAACGAAGGGGATAAGACTCGAAATGGGAAAAAGAGACCCTAAAGGGGGAGGATGATGATGAGCCCTTCTCGTTGGCATAGCTAAATATAACGGAAGTGCCCTTTACCAGCCTAGACAGCGACACCCCTCGACAACGCACTTCACCGTACAACGTGGCTTCCCATTAATTCTTTTTTAACCGTATATAAATACGTATAAATATATATATATATATATATATACACCGTTCTTTTCGCGAAAGACGAAATTCCCTTACTAACTCTTTCCTCTGGATTGGTATAAATCATCCGATTCTTAATTCTTAATCTTCGATTATCGCGTGTATTAAATTTCACGATACCAGCGTTCGATAATAATACGTACGTAAGAAGATTGGAAGATTGAAAAAAGAAAAAAAAAAAAAAGAAAAAGAGGCGAGAGAGTGGAAGATCCCCGAGATCGGGGCGAGCGTTAGGATTCAAAGGGGGCTTTTATCGGTCAAACGTGGAGGAGGGAGGGAAGCTTGCTTCTTAGAAACGAGGAGGAGGAAGGGGTGGTCGATAAAGAGAAAGCTAATAACGAGAAAGAGAAGGGTGAGAAGGGTGGTGGTAAGCTCGAAGGCGATAGCCGAGGTAGCGCGAGCCGCTATCGCGCTATTGAAACGGCAAGTGAAATATACGAAATAAATCTTGCAAGACCCCATTCACCAGAGACAATGCAGTGTCCAGTCTATGGACGGTGGCGAGGGTAGAGGTAGAGCGTATTGTGCGACGTTAGGCGGCAAGGGGGTGGTGCCGGTCGACGAACGAGAAACGCTAACTCGAGTCTCCCTCAACCTTGCGCGCTCCCCGGTATTTCGTCTTTCCCTCTCTGACTTCTCCTACTGTCCCTGTCCCAGCCCTCTTACCGTCTCTCTTCCCTATTTCGGCCCGCCACCACTCTCACCACCACCACCACCACCACCACCTCCACCACCACCTCCACCAGCTTCACCTCCACCACCACCACCATCGCTACCACCTCCACCCCGTTTCCAAGCCCTCTTGGACTTCTCGACGACTCTCCTCTGGCCCCTCTCCAACGACCTCTGCTCGTGTCTCTGTTCCTCGCGTCTCCGTTCCTCGTGTCCAGGCCCCTCGTGTCCATCTTCCCCTTTCTCGTTCCTTCTTTCCGTCTGTTTCGCTTCGATTCGTGAAACGGTTCGCGAGCCGGTGTCGCTGGGTAAATACCAACGGCGTGCGGGCGATCTTTGCATGGGGTGGTCGTAAAGAATGGTCGTATTCAAAGTCCGGCACCACTTCTGTTCCACCCTTCCAGCTCTGCTCCCTCCCCTCCCTCGCCCCCCCCCCCCTAGTGTTCCGCGTCCACGAGCTCCTCGTCGCGACCACAGTGCAAAGTTTCTGAAGCGAGACAACCCGCAATATAATGCCACCCTTCGAGCCAACGTTACGCAGACTCGCACCTCTCTTCCTCCTTTCCTCTCCTCGATACTCCATCCCCCCCTTTTTTCGTTTCTACTTTCACCGTTTCTTCTGACTCGACGAGTCAGAGAAGAAAGAAGGAAAGAAAGGAAACAAAAAATTCGTTCCACTTATGATTCCTTCCTCCTTATCGGTGCTCCCTCCTCGGTGATCCCGTGTGCTTGATAACGACACTGGTCGACCTGGTGGACGGACTCTCGTGCCGGTTAATATTGATTTACGCGCAAGGTCCGGGAGCCTAATCCGCGCGGGCCATAAACAGATCAAGTCCAGACTAAATCCGGCGCAAATTGTTACTAATTCGCATCTTAATAATGACCGCGTCAGAGGCGTCACCGTATCTCAGAACGTGGCAAATTAGCCACGATGACAAATGACATTCGGCGTACACGTGTGACCATGCTAGGCCCTCACCTCTCGTGCTTCGTACGAGCACGTTTGCCACTGTTCGCTGATGCGTGTACGCACGTGGGAATAGAGCGAATGGGGCGAGCGAGCGAACGAGCGAGAGAGAGAGAGAGAGAGAGAGTCGAACAGTTCGTAGTATCTGGATCCTCTGGACATACCGCGGTCGTGGCAGCCAGATACGGCTACACTGGCCTATTCAACATGTGCAACCGTCAACGTGTACAGATACGATCGATCATGAAATCGATTAATGAGATTCGATCGCCCTGTAACGTCGCGATCGTAACGAGGTCACCTCGTTATCTTTCAAGACAGCCATTCAAACGATAATTAATAATCGGATACTCTGATTAGATTAGGGAAAGAAGGAAAAAGTGAAAGGAAGGAAAAATCTCGATGCAAAAATTTTTACACCTCGAATATTACTTCTCTTTCGCGAAGGGAAAGAGATTCGAAAGTAAAGAAACAACGTTCGGTGCGAGGATAGAATGGAAACGGGGAGTAAGACGGAGATCGTTATTCGAGGGCGACCACAAATCGGAAACGATATACACGGTATACTTAGCCACGATTAAACCGGATTTCAACGTGAGTGTAATAGACGGAAAGCTTGGAACGGTCTAGTAGCTCGTATCCGCCGTTTCCCCGGCCGTCGGTGCTGTGATATCGAATGTCACTCGCAGGATCCGTCATTTCATTCGGACCCGATTCGACCGCACGTCATTGCGGTAAGATCTCCGCCTATCCCCCCCTCCCATCAGGTTGCACCTGATGATTTTCTGTCCAGGCGCTTCATCGAAATTCCCTTGAATTTGCCGAAACCGCAATCAAGGGGGGAAATTCTGAAGTCAGTACCAACCGATAATGTTAGTTAACGGTGCTTCGTTTCCTTCCCCCCCCCCCCTTTTCTTTCTCTTTTCGTTTCGAATTCGAAGAAATTCCTCTCCCCCCCCCCCTCCAAGATCGATAATAAAAGTTTTAAAAGATAGTTATACTTTTGAAGTTAAAGAGGGAGGAGAAGCGAGGCGCGAGGAACGGTTTATTATTTATAGTTGGCGCGAACGATAAATGTTGGCGCGTCCGTAGGGCCATTAACAGATGTTGGATACAGGAGTTTAGGAATCGGGCATCGGGAGTGCACGAAGCGGCCTCGCGCTATGGATCGTAGAAACGAGACCTATCCGTGCAGATGCATTGTCTATAGGTAGGTCCCCTTGTCCTGGAGGGTAGTAGTATTGTGTGACGTAATCATTTGCATACGACGCACCGTTCTGCCTGTTCCGCATCCCAAACCACCACCCACTTCTGCGACCCACTGGCTTTCGTCCTCTGCCCACCATCACCTACGTCCCATTCCCGCTCCGTCTACGTCCCGTATCTATCTAATTATTGTCGCGGACCCCGGCCGCTCCGGTCGCCGTGATATACCGCATGCTAATAAGCGGCTAAAGACCGGAGACCATGCCCGACTCCCCCCATAAATCTTCGCCACCGATTTCCAAAACCGAGTTCCACAGTTCGCCTTCTCGCTCTCCGCCCCCGTCTTTCTCGAAACGGAAACTCGAGATCCATAGAGAATATTATTACCCTCGGTATATCGAAATATATCCGCGGAGGGGGATATATCTTGGGGAAATAGGGATAAGGAAAGGATACGGTGGTCGCGCCGCGATCGATTTAATCGATCGAGATCGATTAAACTCGGGGACGGTAAATATATTCGGCTATCGCGATTTGTTTCGATGCGGGTTCATCCCTCTCGGAGGCCAGCGCACCGCCAGCGACCCTTGCGCGTGATGCAACACTGACCACACATCAATTCACTGCAAATGGACATCAATACCGGTAATTAATACATCGCGCCTCTCCTCGCCCCCTCGTACGTGGCGGGGGGGCTTGCTCGCCGTCCTGCCACTCACCCCGAGCCACCACCGAGCGATACCACTTGCACGCTCATCGAAACGCGCCGGATTTTAGCTCCGAATTTGCATGTAAGTGATATCCCTGTTAGCGGATCGGATTGACAGCTCTTCTCCCGCCGCGTTGCAGGGTGTTGGCAAGTCGGCCCTGCGAGATATGCGTTCCGTCAACCGGAGAGACGGGCAGAAAGAGAGAGAGTTCAATTTGTTCTTATATTATATATATATATACATATATACATACATATATATATATACATATATATATATATATATATATATATATATATATATATATATATATGTGTGTGTGTATACGATTATTCGATTGTAAATTGAATCGAAATGGCGTCTCGCTCGGCGTTTAATCCCGAATGATTTTCATTACGGTCATTAGGACGATACGCGATAAAATATATTTCCGGGCTGGATAATCGGAAATTATTATTATGGAGGAGGATTTTTGACGCGGCAATGGTGGAATATAACGGAAGCAAAAATAACGGGTCGGTGGAAGGTAGATGGAACGACAGCCACGGTGATGAATACTCGCAGGGTGCACAAATTGGATATCAAAGGATATTACCTGTGTGTTGCACTCCACCGATACACACTCGATTTGACGTGTTGACGTTGCTATAGCCGCTCGATACCCGGCCGCGCCCGTACCGGACAAGAGGAAGAGAAAATATTTGCACGCACTTCGGTTCTATCGGATTTTCCACTTGCGGCCTCGGCTTCCCTCCCCCCTTTTTTTTCTTTTTTCCTTTTTTTCCTTTTTTTTCTTTTTTTTTTTTTCCCCTATTAAAAGCTCTTCCACCCCCGCGGTCAATCCGATTTCTGCTTCGATCTACCCTCCATATCGGACGCCGGCTTCGGATTCCTTTTTTTTTTTTTTAACGCGCCCGGCATACGTTCGCTTTAAAGCGTAATTTTATTTAACACCGCGGCAATTTTTATTCGCGCCTTTCTCCCCCCCCCCCTCTTTTCTTTTTCCTTTTTCCTTTCTTTCTCCTTTCTCCTTCCATCTCCTTCACGCGTGGTGAAATGTATAATTTCAATCCCTTTAGATGGATGATGAGTCGATGAATTATTCGATTTCGGTGGAGAGGGGAAAAGAAAGGAAGAATTTATCCCGATTATCTTGGCACGCGATAAATTTTCCACGCTGGCCGGCCACGAAACGGATCGTGACGTTATGCGCGGCAATAATCAATGATCAGGCTAATTGAGTGGGATTGATCGCGTCGATGATAACGGGAGGCCTCCCGCATTGGACGCGCATTAGCATCGGATCGTGATGCATGTCCCTTCGCTCGACACTCCTCGATGACGCGGCTCGTTTCGCCCCGAGAAGAGGATGTGCAGAAGAAGAAGAAATTCGAGAGGGGCACCGGATACGAGAAACGTAGGAGGCGCGACGAAACACGAGTCACTCGAGACGTTTGTTCCGCGTTTCGCGATGCGGAGACAAAAGTGGAGTGCTCCTGCGGAAAGAATATATATATACATCCGGCCGTTGACCGCGTAGCTATAAGAGAGTAAAACGATCCAGCGTGACGTGGGCTGAACGGTTCGAAGGAGAGCGATATCCTCTTCGCGCTCTCGTAACTCGTCCGAATCGAGTCGATACCCCGTTTGCACTTCCTCTCGATGGACCCGGACCGGATTTCGCGGCTCCCACATCCTGGCAGCTCGTGTTCCACCTCCTTTCACTGACCGTGATAAACCGTTAACAAATTAATCGTAAAGGATAAATTACGTCATGAAAACGACGGCAAATAAAAGGACATCATTAATCCCTCTTTCGTCGTTCCCTGTTTCGTCGTTTCGACCTTGTTCTCGCTCATCGGCGTGCTTGGATCCACTTGGAGGAAGGAAGGAAGGAAGGAAGGAAGGAGGGAGGGAGGAAGGAGTGGAGATGGATAGGGCAGGAGGGGGTTGTGCTCGGTCGTAATTCGATCGCGAGGTCGGCGGCAAAGTCGGAGATCCATGCGTGTGCACGGGGAGGGAGTGGACACAGTGGGCAGAGAAGATAATGACGCGATATTATGCATAGGATATTCGGCGCACATCCGCGGCCGTATTCTCCGCGTTGATTTATCGTTGTCTTCATTATTAGGAATGCACGTACGCAGGCCGGCCATTATGCGAGAGCGAGGGAGAGAAGTGACGGACGGTCTAGCCCACGGACTCCGCGATACAATGCGCGCATATACAAGCGGGCCATACGAGAGGAGGAACATTGAGACACACCTACGTCAGGCCAGATATAGATAGACAATTAGCTACCGTCACCGTCTATAATTCTGTTAGATTAGTAGCCGCCGTTGTCCTGCAGGAATACGCGCGAGTCTCCGAGCTGAGAACACCGAGAGGGTTCGCTAGATTGGAATCTTGTCCATTGTTTCTCGCGTTTTCCTCCCCTCCCCCTCGATATTCGCTAT